AAATCCACATGTCGGTACTTCATTTAAACATCAGGGTAAGAATATGTCAGTTTCGGTATATTAAGGGGACGATAGTGATCACGCACACGCCACATGACGGTCCTGCATTCAGGCTCAATCCATGACCCTGCAATTACGCAACGTTTTCGCGGATCGTACGGAGGTCAAAAGCATTTTTTAACCTCCGTGTAGTAGGAACGTAATGAAGGGGTATGAAACAGATGGATTTAAGCGCCTCGAAACAAACATGTGAGGTCGATCCTTTCCTCAATTGTAACTGAAATCCGACGTCTATACGTGGAAATACTCCAGAAATGGACAATACTTCATGCTTCTTCCTCTCTTTTCGAGAAGGCTGTTTTGTAATTATTAAGCAAATGATCCACATAGATTAATTCATTTAAGTGAACCAAAGTAGCCCGTTGAGCCATTCAAGACAGCCAGCCGTAAATATAAAGTTGTGCTCATTGAACATGTTCTTCGATATCTACCACTACATCTGCAACCATGCATCACAACTTTGAAATTCTGGCTTTAGCAGCGTCGCTCTTCTCATCCGCCTGTGCATCACCAACTGCAGTAAGAAACGAAGCGAACGGTGTCAGTCTTGCCAAACGTGCGACTTGCACCCCTGCTTCTGCTGGAGATTCCGGAACCGACGACGTTCCAGCCATTGCTGCCGCCATTTCATCATGTGGAAGCGGCGGGGTCATTCAAATACCGGCCGGCGTACAATATGCAATAAATAGTGTTGTCGACTTCACAGGATGTGCTGGATGCACCCTGAATATCGAAGGTACACTCAAAGTCTCAGACGATTTAGACTTTTGGGAGGGAAAACGAGCTATATTCTATATGGATGGCATCAACAAAGCAACCATCCAATCCGTCACTGGAACTGGAGTTATAGATGGAAATGGGCAAGCAGCATACGATTATTTCGCTCTCAACTCTTCATATGCTCGCCCAACATTACACTATATAACCGGGGCGTCTTCCAATATCGCCATCAAGAACCTCAGGGTCAAAAATCCACCCAACGTTTTCTTCAGTGTTACAGGAGGTTCGGAAAATGTCGCCTATTCCGACTTGACAATGACAGCAGCTTCGAAATCGACAACGGCTCCAAAAAACACAGACGGATTCGACATTGGAGACTCGACATATGTTACATTAAACAACATCAAAGTTACGAATCAAGATGATTGTGTAGCTTTCAAGCCCGGAGCGAACTACACAACTGTGGATACCATTACTTGTACTGGATCACATGGACTCTCCGTTGGTTCTCTTGGAAACAAAGCAGGCACAACCGATTCGGTAACAAACGTATACGTCACTGGAGCAACGATGATCAATTCTACCAAAGCCGTTGGCCTCAAATTGTATCCTGGGGGAAGCTCACACGGATCAGCCATCGTCAGCAACGTAACCTTCAACGATGTTACGGTGAATAACAGCGATTGGGCAGCTCAGATCCAAAGTTGCTACAACGAAGATGCAACTTATTGTGCCAGTAGTCCCAGCACAGCCTCAGTCACAGACGTATATTTCACAAATTTCAAAGGAACGACGAGCTCAAAATATTCTCCCGATGTAGCGAATCTGAACTGTCCAGGAGGTGGAACATGTGACATTTATTTCTCGTCCTGGTCGGTTGCTCCGGCATCTGGTTCTGCCACTTTCCTGTGCGAAAATGTTGATAAGTCAACGGGCCTTACCTGTACTTCCGGTGCGTCGGGATAAGTGATAGGCTAGTTTGTGGTTTTGAGTGTTGGTAATTCGTTGTACATATATTGACAGAAATTCATGTCATGGATTATTTTCTTGCTTTTGAATGCATCTTTTAAGTACTGATATCTGGTAGAGGCAGTCATTTCTTGGAAACCATACTTAGCTAATATACACATATGTATATATGTAATTGAACTTGAGTGGGTCGCATCGTGAGAATTATAATGAATGGATAAAATGTCAATACTGCCTGCTTTGCTGCAAAAAGCTGAAATAGATGAACTTTAATCCCCGAGAGGTCCAGGCTAAATCAGGATAGATCACATCAACCGTCCAGCGCCTGATATTGAACTCTCCTGACCGAAACTCACAACCGTGCCTATATCTGAACTCACACAGCAGCATTGTCATCACCCCATTCTATGCATCGTGAAAACACACGATTCCACATACCTGAGATACAGCCTCGGCGGGCGCCAATCTGAAGTTTAATCCCATCCTCCAAGTCGCTCCTCCAGATTAGAAAAGAAACTTGCATAATCCAACTCAAGGCCATCTGACCTATCTCTCGGTACTTCTGCCAATATTTCTTCCCCCATGTTCATCTGTTCAATAGATTTGATACCATCGATTCTTGTCGGTAGTGCGAATTTCCCCCTTGTAACTTCCTTTCATGCCTCAATGCTTAAGAGGAGCCTACAAGTTCGGACCAGAATGAAAACTTTGGGGAAAGTATACGAGCCCGATGGGATCACGTCGAAAGTGAAGTGTGCCATGATCCTCTAAGTTAGGCGATGGTATAGATCGGTTCTCAAAAGCGAGGGTGCAAGAAGTTACTCAAGAGATGCAAAGCACCTAGTCGCTTTCATTGATTTCTCAGTTCTAATATGACATTAGGACGTTGACATCAGGCAGCCTCATATGATGTATCGTAAATGTTCCCTGGTCCAGGGTTATTTGTACCGGCCCTGAGATCGTCTTAGTTTCTTGTGCCACTTGTGATACTTCTCTGTAGCTTCATCGAGCTGCGATAGGATTCTGAATTTTGATGGCTCTTTGTGGGCAGATTTCCGGTATCCAGTAACGAAGCCAGCCGCCTGCTTGATAGGATCTAGTAATTCAAGAACTGTTCTGACTTGGGGCTTGTTTGTGCTGAGTCTGGTGTTAATTGGCTCGTGCCAGTGAAAGACTGGTACCTCTGAGAGAGTTACGGCAGTGACTGCGGAAATGAAGGATTTGCATGCAGTCATAACTCTATGATGCTGCGAGTTCGGCGAGAGTTGGTCAGGATCGCATTGTACAAAAGGCTCAAAACTATCATGAAGTAGATGCGTAGATTTAGTAATGACAAGGGGCGATGTAGCCAACAACGGCCGCAGAAGTCGTCCTTACCTGTTCCATTTTGGCAATGCCCAGTAAAATAAGATGACTTCAACAGTGTCAAGCTTTTGAGTATCATTCTGTGAGTTGAGCAAGAAGATAGTTCTGATGTCATAAAGCTTTTGTAAATCTCAGCTAATATCACTTTTTCGCAGCACAATGAGACAAGAATGGCAAAAAAATCCGCTCGAAGTAAGTAGACATTATTTTGACTGAAATAATATATCCAGTTGGCATCCCTATGTCTCATTACTACTACAAAATTAATAAGAGTTTTGGAAACTACAAAATGACTATGAACGACTCACAGTTCAGTCTTTCTATCAGAAGTAGTGTCTCTCTTTGCCTTCTTTGCTTCAGCTTGTGCCTGCAATGGAAAATGTCCCTCCAGATCCATCCATTCAGCAACAAACGCTGTCAACATTTTAGCCCAATCCTCTACTGTACGCATGTCTAAATGCTCCCCGTCATCCTCAATATGATGCCAAACGCTCGGGAATGGGTTAGGTATCATGTGCAGAATTTCCACACCACGGGCCATAAAGGGTAGATGATCATCTTGTACACCACCGAAACCAGAAAAGGCAGTCCGGCTGACATCAGGAAGGAAATGCTGTTCGACTTTTGTTTTAGCTATCCCAAGCCATCGTAAACGATTTTCGATGGTAGCAAGACTTTTGTATGCCCAATGTGTAGTTTCGAAATATGAAGGGATGCTTGGATTTTCGTGCCCAAGAAGATCAAGAAGAAGAAACAAGCTAATCGAGTCTAATGGATTTTTGTAATTCGACATAGCTGCATGAGCCGTCGCTTCCCATGTTTCCGCCAGTGCCCTGAATGGGTTAGAATAACAATTGTGCGGATTAGGAAAAATCTCTCACCTTGCGCCATAAAGAGAGTCATCATTAGTCCAGCTCAGGAATGCTTCTTCGCCGTCGAGAAATAGTATTTGAACACCCTTTTCTTCCTCCAAACCAATATCATTCGCCGTTTTTATAGCCTCCCATTTATTCGTCAATGCCTGATCCACGCTTCTAGCTGCATGCATAATCATCGCACACGGAGCTGCGCTGTCAGTTGCGCCGATAAATCCCGTAGGGGTGAGTTTGCTATCGTAATGTGCCACCAAGGCCAATCTTCCAACATCTCCAGATTTTGCCCAAGGAGGATCGCGAGTTATAATAATGTTAACAAATGGCACTTGTTTGTCACCGGTGACGGGAGTCTTCGAAGTCGAATTTTGGAATTCAATTGTCCATTCCGGAAGATGTTTTGTGAAGAAATCAACGAAGTGTCTTTGAACAGTTTGAATTCCTGGGGTTCCTGGGACTCTAGGGATCAAAATTGGTGAAAGAATGGCTCCATTATTTATATCAAAATCTGCGCCTGCAGAAGGGAGACTATGAAATGTCTCATCGGATAAAGGTGTGTATGCCGTGACGTTGATACTCAAGATGCTGCAAATCAAGAAAGCGATTGCTGCGATGTATTGCGAAATCATTATACCGAGTTAAAAGGCGAGCGCCTTTTGTCTTTATCTGCAATATCTCCGCAATATCATACTTCCCCAAATGTTGTGTGAGCGAACACTGTTCGTTCCTAAAGTCTAACGGTAATCTGTTACAATGATACCGAGATAAGTAACCGCGGCTAAATATCGCGGCCCGTGGCGCCAAACGCGCTTGACCATTGTATCAAATTTATTTCTATGCAGTATCCATTCGAACAATATTTGAAATATTACACAGCTGCCAGATATTGAGATCTGATTCGACATTGGATCAGCCTTTCGGCCACAAGCAGAATAATGATTGATTGATAATTCGTTCCCAATTCTATTTTCTTGAAGACACTCTTTCCCCTCGCCATACCCGTGATCAAAAGCAATGATAATATTGCTCGCACGATTAACGGTGCCCAGAGGGCTGGCTAGCCAGAGACCCTTATCATGTCTTCGAGCAGGTAGTTTCAGATACGCTAGTCAAATTGCGAAAAATAAAATACCACGAGCAGCAACCCCACGACCCGTACCAACACCACAATATGCAAGCAAAAGGCCCGGTTAGTACATCTGCTGCTTTGTATCATCCATACTAATTGTACACAGCATATCCTGAACGCTTGCTTATCTATCATTCTGGGACTGGAAGAACAGTGTTTCTTGGCTGCTTGAAAGTTACAACTATCTTCATATTCGTATTTTTTACTCTAGTTGTAGCGCCAGCACATTACTATGCGGAGGATGAACCTGAATGGGTGGCGCCTGCTGGTAAGTTAACGCTAAGATTCCAAATTCTGCCGAATCTGATTGCAGCAATGTTATCAAAAATTACCGAATTCTTCTTTTTTTCAAAAACTAATATAATTCCAAGTTCTACTGTCTGGAGCTGTTCCAGTGGTGTTCGTGGCATACATAACATCGCCATTTGTCAATTACATCCATCTCAGATTGCCCAATTTTGCTCGCAACTCACGTGATCTATTAATGAGATACTCAAAAACCCCACCAAAAGATGCACAGGTCGATATCACTACGATGAACTTTGTGGGGAAACCAAGGGTGACTAGGCTCGAAATCTCCGAATTAAAAGCTATAAAGCAAAGATTTGGAGTTGTGAATTTTTCTCGAGATACGAGAAAGATTAACGCCACGAGAAAATGGTGGATGCCAAAGGCTGTACGGGTATTTGGGGTTCATGGCGGAGCAGGAAGAGTAAGAGAAGGGGAGGCCTGGGAAAATATTGCCAAGAAAATACGAAAGGTCTGTTGATATTAGTAAAATCTTCAAACACTTCGACGGGAAAGCATCTGCACATGTAAAGAGATGTTGTAAAATTTCAACGTTATTCTGCTATGGACACATCGCACTATCCGAACCCGCTAAGCGCAATCTTAGTTATCAGTCCCGTATCACTCATGTAGCGCTCCATGAAGAGGAACCCGAAGTGCACCGAATTCTCGACTAGCGCATAGCCCACTCAACATCGTCTAGTCCATGGAACAATAACAACTTTTGGAATCTTGACTTCTGCAATCTCATGTTTAGTATGTGACTGTGCTCCCCACTCAGCGAGTTGTTCACCGACGGCGGTATCATCATGAATGCGCTGAAAAAATCCAGTCATCGCATTTATACTTTTCTTTTCCATAGATTTAGTCCACGGCCTCCCTTGGTGCCTGCTTCTACAATCTGCACAAAACTTTGGAAGGTATTGCGATGGATGATGTAGCATGAGACGTATTTCCTCAAGTTGCGTGAAGACTTCTAATGCAACACAATATGGTGTTTGCAGAGATTGGCCGATCCTATCGTACCATTCCCAAGAGCGAACCTCCAGGACTCTTACGTCTTTGAAGCAATCTCTATTCAGGAATCGATTGGCGATTAACGGAGCCATCCAATCAGAACGAGTACAGCACATCATGTCGAACATGTCTGTGTACAAAAGGTCCCGTGATGGGTCGAAGCAAAGAGGTTTTACTTTGCCGTTGAAAGTGCCTTGTGTTTCTGGCATTATCCAAACAAGTCGATAGTGTCTGAGTGTCTCCTCTCGACTTTGGTGATTGACAAATAGTGTTATAGGCAAAGGAGCCGTGTGCTTGGCCCTACATTTACATGAAGAGCAGTGAGGCTCCTTTTGGCGACAAAAGCGATTGGGTCGTACTTCGACTCTTCGTGGAGGGGGAAAAGCGGATTGCCATATTTTGATCTGCAACTCCTTGACCAGGGATGGAAAACAGTGGAATGTTTCAAGCTTGTCGGTTGTTATGGGATCAAGGATCTGAGCTACGACCTCTCCCTCTGGGTCAGGGAGATGTAAAGATAAGATCGATAATGTTGATATCATCATGTCTTGTTTTGACGAGCATGCCATCTCTGCCACTAATTTATAGAGTTAGTCATGGTCTTTGAAGCTCTGTCCACACTTTGGGGAGAGAAACTAACTCTGTGGGTGAGCCTATAAGCTTCTACGTTTTGAACTTGTTTTGTGATTTCTATGTTGAAAACCGTTAAGGTAATTTGACAAAAGATTTGGGGAGTTTTTGGAATAACCATCGATCAATGAGCAACAGTTTTGGTCTGACATTCTATATTCACTTCCTGAAATTAGCTCAAACTCTCCCAGCCTCAAGTTTCTCCGATCTCAATTGTAGTTAGGTGCGAAGACTATACTGCTCCTTGTCAATGTGGCTTATACTGTGATTCGAGAATGCAAAGAATCAAATATTTGAGAGTGAAAGCAGGTATAAATCACAAGAATCGCTTGCTAGATACTCAAGCATATTAAAGTAGATCAGCAATTTTGAGAGCATCAAAACTTAGCTGGGAATGTAGAATTTTTCATGGACTCATACCTGATCTAATATAGTGCGAAAAGGACCCATTGAATCAAACATTCTCAGATACTTCTAAATCAGAAAAGAAGACTCGGTTCCACACCCCTGTGATGTCTCAGATACTGAACAAGCAGACCTGCCGGCCCTCTCGAGAATTTCGCGTGTGATTTTGGAAATGTTCTTTTGGGCGCGCCAAAGACTTCTTTTCATATGCTAAAGTTAGGATATTCCTATCTTCAGTCCGTCACAAGTATTTGCTCCAAGCCAAAAACTGGCACCTCGAATTCGTGGGCAGCGCTCTCCCGGAAAAATCATCTCCTTATACTGACATTCTGACATTCGGAAATCAATGGCAGGGCTTGCTCAATTTGAAGTGCGCTTGGTCCGTATGGGTCGGCCCCTTTTGTATTTGTTTGTTGGTTGGGTAGCTTGAGATATCGCAGAATCATATACCGTGTAGCTTAGACAGTCCGTCCTGAAACTCAGGTAAATCACCGTTGGCCATTTACAACTCACATGTTCCAGTCCATCTGACGGCAAGGAAGCTTCCCTTCTCTTTATATCAACTTGTGGGCACCAGCTAAGTATTTCATTCTGACAGTTTGCTTATGAGCGAATTTATTCCGCTTAGTTATTAGTACAGTCCGATCGGTCGAAATGCTCGTGTGCTCCGGTCAACTTTCTTCAGAGACATTAATGGCTTTGCTGATTTCGGGTTTGAGCCTTGCGGCTTTTCGAGCAGACTGCCACCTCCTATATTATCCTTACGCATCCATCACCTTCCACTTGCCCTCATATTTTTCCTGCGCCCGCTACTTCCTTTATTTATTGCTTGTACTTCTTTCCCCTTTCGCTATTTATGAATTCTCTCCAGACAAGCGAGTGGTAAGGCCAGATTCGCGTTTCCTCATCAAGTAGTATGCCTTACAAGATTCTTTCCATGGCATCTATCAGCTTCCACCACTCTTTTCCTTCAATACTAACTAGTTTGGTCCATCAAATCCATTCATCAATCTAGACTTCATGGCGTATTTGGTAGGATCCCCATAATTGGTCGTCCGCTATCCGCAGGTAACTGCCGATTAATCAATCTTGATTCAGTGTTTATCTCCGATCAATATGATGGTTATGGTGATTCGTTAGACCACAACCGAATTCCTCAAGATTACTTACCAAGCATTCAATCTCTTTCATCAGCTAGAGCTGAATTTGAATTTCATAATCCATGAGAAGTACGACGAAATGCATTGAAGCTGGTATGGTTTTCAGTTCCTTCCAAAGGGTAGTCCAAAATAAACCGAAGACAATATGGCATGTGTCCTGAACCATGTGCAAGGAAATGCTAGGTTCCGTTTCTCTCAAGTGATTGCAGCGTTTTCTTTCCAAATCGTGGGCACGGTCAATATCCAGGGTATCATGGCGTTCCATTCATCGTTCAAGACCACAGCGCAGTCCTTGTTATCTCGAAAGTACTATCGGGCAGTCCTGGTCATGCTTGTCTCATTTTTCCCTTTTTTTTTGATGTTGTCGCATCCGAGCATCCAATTCAAGGCAATTTTTCCCTAGTTCCCACTAAGTCAGGTAAAGCACTCTTCACATTTGTCGCAAGAAGACGGAATCAAAATGGCCAAGGTCTACTAAGCTTATTTTCGCGTCTGCTAAGCTCTACTATCGTGATCGTTTGAAATTCGATAAAATCCATCTTCGTCTTTACCGTAGAAGTTATTTCGACATAATTCATCTGCAATTTTATTACATAAGTCGATTCAAGCTCTCCCAAATCCATGGCTATCACAGTCGTATCGGAATTCATGACGTCCATGGAGTCCAGTCAATTCTTGTCGCAAAAGCCTGCTGATCAGATTTCATCTCAACTTGAGTAATAGAAGCCGCACTAAGCCGCAATATTTCCATAATAACCCGAGCACTAATATAGTATTGATATCGCTCACGTCCATGGGCTCCATTCAATCCTTCTCATAAAATTCGAGTTCCACGGGATCCATCAATTCCATCAATCGCATCTTCGCCTGTCGTCAGAGTTTCAGTAAAGCCACCAAATCTATCAACCCTTCTGTCGCACAAGCTGAAAACCTTCACAGCAATCTTGTATCTCCGTCTCTGTATCGAAGTCGCCTGCACAATACCCGGGTGTTCGGTATCTCCTCATAGATAGGCAAAGTCGCATTTCTACCCACCAAGTAGTCCAATCTTTTGTTGTGAAGTTGCATGGAAGCCGAACCTCTTTCCATTGAACCCATCTGTTGTAAAATGCTGCGTAGCATATAAGTTTGAAAAAACGACCACACTCGTCGATGGCTGGCGTTTGATGGCCACACTCAAGATATGTTGTCGAGCTTAAACAAGATTTCGAAGGAGATTTTTTCCAAGCTAATCAAGGTTAAGAGATTGAAGGTGAATGGCGAAGCCGCGACCTCAAAACCCCCAATCACGTGTGACCTTCTTCCAATCTGCCTTCCCTCTTTGAATTACATATCCTGCGACCAATAGATTTTCGAGCGCAAAGCCTGGGCCGCTTTCTTCTTTTTCATTTCCCTTTGCGCTCAACGAGAGCCAACCATTCCAAAAGACGCTAAGAAAACTTTCAAACTTCCAGATATGCAACAAGATAGTACCCCGCATCTTATTCGTCCCATCATTCACTTTCAGAGGCGCCATCCCACCTTATGAAAGATTTTTTGCACGTCTAGAATCCAAAAAGTCTACCTCAAAGGGCCAGAAAACGTGGAGAAAACGGAAAAGCGGCAGATAAAAGACAGGGAGCTTCGGCACTGTCACTTAGCTCAAAGCTCACCAGAGTTCTAGACCTCTAGCTTGGAATTTCCGCAGATTTCAATTTCAAAGAGACCAATAAACAACGGAGCGCAAAGCTTGGGTCACTTTGCGCTCGCTCAGTTATTGGTCCTTTCGAGATTTGGAGCTCTGAAACTTTGTCTTTTTTTGAGATATGCAACAAAACTTTTCAACCTCTAAAGCCACCCAGTCAACCATGGACGTCTCAAAACGTGCTGCGGGAAGTAGTGCGACGCTACGTATAGCTCCCGCCGCTAGTCTGGGACTTTAAATCTTCAAATATTTGCGCTCGTGAATCTACTGGGTCCCTAATGAGCATGACGTCAATTTCAATGTTCCTCAGATATGCAACAAGAAGAATTCGATGGCAATGTAATTCACCTTAAACGCACGTTCATTAACTTCAGACTATATCTATAAACTTGCGCTCGTCAGTTTATTGGCTCCCTAATTAGTATGACGTCAATTTCGATATCCTTCAGATGTGCAACAAAATGAAATGGTTGAGACGTAATTCACTCTAGCGCCGCATTCAAAAGCTTCGAGAACCTTCGGACGATTTAGTGTACGACAAGCTGTTTATGAGTGCCTTTAGTAGTTTCAACTTGCACTTGCAAGGTCACTGGCTCAAATAAATTTGTCATATCAATATCGACATTTCCAAGATCTACAACAAGTGTAATTGAGTACGATAAGATTTTCTAAAGCAACAAAGGCTAATATATTCCCTCATTGAATAGGGATTTAATGGGTAGTTCAACTTCTTGTTGATATTCAAGCGAATTTTGTGCCCTTTTGCAGCCTAAAGTACTTGATAAGACATTTTCCAAGTCCATCAATTTGTACTCTAGAGATCCCAGCACACATAAAGCAATCATAAAATAAGGTTGCACTTTACTTCAACATTGAAGTCTCCACAGCATCACCATGGGACTGTCTCTATCAAGTCCTCTTATCATTGAAACACGTGTCTTTTCTTAAACAAGTATTTTTCGGTATATTGAAACGTTGATCCTTCGGGTAAACGAGTCACATGGCTGTCTATATACCACTTACCAAGACAAATACTTAGATCATTGAATCCGCAGGGAAACAGTAAATCAAGAGGGTGATAATTACAGACGGACGATTAGGATGGAGGATTAAAGGCATACAAAAGACAGGAAAATATTCAGCACAAAGCTAATTGACAGAATCGGGACTAGCGACAAGTTGATTGAAAAGGCACTGCCGGTTCTCCGTTGAAAAAAAAATGCTGATGAAAATCGCCTCTTCTAGCACCACTGGGCATTTGAGAGTCCATTTGTCCGGAAGGTTTCCAGCGCCGATCGTTGTATCTGCGTGCTTTTCAATTGTAGGTTGACGAGTTCGGGCAACTGCTCTCATTGTCGTCATCTTGAGCCTGACATAGAAGAGCAATGACAAGGAGTTGAAGTCAGAATTCTAAGCTGTATCAGAAAATCAAACACCAGAATTCGTCAATTTACCACAGAGCACTGGTGTGAATAGCAGATAGCCGAAATTTGTCGGCACTAGACAAATAATGCTTTACCTGCTTCAAGATAACCCTAGAGATACATGCAAGTAGTTCTACCGCAGAATCGTCATAGTCTATTCTGGGGGGCAGTTGAAGATATCACAGAGAGCCAGGTCATGATGCAGTCGCCCATAACTTGTACATTACGTCTATCAACTTAGGAGGCACATCTTATAGGAAGTATACTGTCCCAGAAAGCTTTCATACACTCGTTCGCATAAGTCCAATTCGCGAAAGCGTTGTGTTATCCTGCCAAATCACTCAGCTTTGGACATATCCCTTGTATCGGCAAGAAACCATTGTTGGAATGCTCACAGTCCTTAGTACATTTTAGCTAATACATCACTTGATTTCTTGCCGTAATGTTGGATGTCTGGTGGTACTTTTCACGGGTTGTTATTTATCATATGATAATGGGTTGTCGTCTGGATTAACCTTTTCGTGCTTACTCAGCCTCGAGTTAGCCTAACGCTGGCTTGGCCCACAGAGTGTGCGCAGACCCCCGATGAAATCAACCTCGAACATTTTCATCGAATGGATCATGGTATTACTACTACCGCTACTATCTAGGCATACCTGCTAAATTATCGTTGCCCAGAAATCCTTCTTGTTTAATATCATCGATGCGTATGGCAAGTTGGAGATGAGATGGCGAATTGTCTTTGCATTGTCTAGTACATCCCCATTCCGGCTTCGAAAATGGCTCAGAAACACCCCGAGATAACTTATGTATCTATCGAAGCTTTTTTTCATCTCTTACTTACCTCTAAGGATAAATAGAGATCAAGAACGAAACATCATCGTCATGAAAGTTGTTGATCCTGTACACAGACAACACAGACAATGACGAGTATTCAGATCCACCAGCATCATATCATGCATTAATCGGCTCCGAAGCATTGACAAAACTCAAAGCATATTTAGCTCCATAGCATCGATATTTCTTACCGATCAGCAATAATCCAAAGCCTCCGTCTATATCCTAAAGAAGCTCTTCAAAATCTTTGTACATTTTCCCCAGAAAAGATCGAAAAATTAACAATAAGATATAAACGTTCAAGTTGAGCAATAGCACCGACGATGGCGATATAGCCGCTTCAACATATCTTTACGCTCTTGGATCTGTGAAAGACCGACGAACTACCATTCTGTTATGATCGTTTTGGTACCGGAAGAAGATGGAATGGAAATTGCACATGAATGGTTTTTCGGCTTGGATATCCTGTGCAATACTCCAATCAGACTGTGGATAATCTCAGGCTCATGCGTTGACGTGTATGTCGAATTCAAAGTTCGAGTTGCAGATTTTGAATTGTTGGATGGAGAAGTCGCGACGATAACTTCAAAGTTTATCCATACGCGGGTTCAAAAACACACTAACTAAATTCAAATGTCAGGCCAACTTTAGTCGAAAAGATGAAACTTCCTATGTAATCTTTTGGCCCAGTAGAGCTTGCCTCGCTGTCATTTGACCGCCCTCGAGGTAGGATCTTTGCGATTCTCATCTTCTCGAATCGCAATCCTTCGAAGACACAACCAAGATACGGATCAACATACCCCTCTCGCACTCTGACAATTTATTCTCTCATCAAGACCCAAGTTGAAAACCATTTTTATCTATTAGAATACCATTGGTCACCGACAGAAGGTCCTCAAGACCCGACATCGCATCACCATGAAAACCCAAGACAACCACAAAGATGAATCCCATATTCCAATGAGATTCCGCATCTTAATCTACGCATTGGTAAGAGGAACCACGCAGACTGCATTCATGCAAGCTTACAACGAAATACTTTCCAACGTTGAGGAAACAGAGTGCGATTCATCACCAGAGATGCGCCAATCAATGGTAGAGCGCCAAGTCTGGACGAAATTTGGTATGCGATATAACTATTTCAAACAAATCAATTTGTTAGATGCATCTGACAAATCATACAGTCCCTGACGAGACTTCTCCGCCACCACTCGAATTTCCAGTCGCAGAGGGATATTTCGATCCGCCAGTTTCCCGAAAAGCAGTTGAGCAATATCGGATCTGGCAAATAAGTTGTCTCGAAAGTCACCAAAACCAGAAGAGCGATAGCAAGCCACAGTACAATAAGATGAAGCAGAGTGAAAGTAATGACCAAATTCCTGATATTGGGTCTGTAGATTCCCAGCTTCGCTACTCCAGCAATGATGTGATTCGCGGCGAAGTCGGAGGATGCCAGCTTGGTCGGAATAAACAATCACAGCCTGTCGATACCAGTATTGTTGGGGATGCTAAATTTAGCCCTGCAATATCGATCTCTCCAGTAATACAGCATTAAACGAGAGTAGACGCTGGTACGGGAATTATGAGAAATAACTCGACTAGGCTTTCTAACCACATAACTCCGACATCTGAGAAGAAGGTACACGCAAAACGACCACAACGCGCACGAACATATGAAGGAGTAATGCACAATAACGAAATCATACCAATAGGATATCCGGTCATGGATGACTTGACCATCAGTTTAAGAGTCGATAAGGGCAATGCAAGTATGCCCAATCAGTTAATTAGGCCTTCAAGATCTACATCTTCGATGAGTGACCATTTCAATCAATAAATCGACGATCAACGGCCAGAAACACCAAATTCTTAAGCCGATCTGCTGAGTGGTGAAATGGTACCGGTTTGAGGTGTGTCCTTCGACTAGTTGGGACGCACGTACTCCGGAATTTCAAGATCTTGAGTTGAGATATCCTGGAGATAGAGAACCTACATGAGTTTTGTTCGGGGAGTTTTAAGAATCTTTTAGAGGGGACGAAAAGAATTAATATAGTAATGGGTGGGTCCAACAAAGTGAGAAAGGAGAATAGGGCAGTGAGATGGTTTTTCGCTTTTATAATGGTTCTTCAATTGCTTGTGCGAAGATTAATGGAATTGTACTCTGACAGTATTCATGACGGTCAAGGAATCAACAACGGAATCAGTCTGCCAAGGAAAGCGCACAAATAATATCACACTGTTACTTAATCGTGATGTTGGTTGTATAATTACATTAGAATTAAGTTATACTGTGTAGTCTACCAATAGACAGTCCAATTTCTCATCACCACTCAACCAGTATCTTAACAGCTCAAATCATACTTGAGGTTACCATTTCCATCAGCAACACCGAACGATGGGACTGCATCAAAGTCCTGAAGAGTGTACCAGAAAGTATGTCCCTGGTTGAATGCCTCGCAAGCAACATTCTTCCAGTATGTACGAGCATTGTCAACCGATGCAATAGCCGCATTCTCTTGAGCACCTGCAGTAGGCCATCCACTCTCTGTAACCCAAACCCAAGCACCACTTTGAGCATTCTGAACAGTCGTGCGGACTGCATTTACAGAGTCCCAGAATAGTTGAGAACCCTGGCTGATATCGTTGTTTTGCGTGTTTTGGAAATAGGGGTAGCCGTCTAATCCGATGAAGTCACATGCTTTGATGACTTCAGTGTTTCTTCCGTCAACCCACATGGTCCATGTATCGACATGTCCAACTTGTACTGCGCTACTATATCCGGCAACGGTACTCAACATTCCTCTAACGTCATAAATCTGTTGTGCGAGTGTGGAAGCGGTAGTATCTCCTCTGTACAAATCTTCCGAACCAACAGATACAGCAACGACCCAATCGAAACCGTAAGTCTGGACTGCGTGCAATAAAGCTTGTTTCTCGTTGTCGTAATGAGTGGCATCCTCGGTCCAAACGCCCAAGAGAACTTTTCCGCCGGTGGCAATAGCAGCTGGGGCAACGTTGGCAATGGTGTTACAATCCGAGGATGCGTAGACTCTTAAACTGTCGAATCCACCGGGGAATGATTGGATAAGACGGAAATCATTTTCCCAATCAGCTTGGGTCTTGCAAGCACCGTTTTCGAGGGTAGCTTGGGAGTTGAAACCTTTCCAGTATGCGTTTGCGCCGGTGAGGGTGCTCGCAAGTGCGAGGGCAATAGATGTTGACTTCATGATAATGATATAAATAGGGATTGATTTAAACGATTGTATAGAGTGCAGTGAAGACCTCTGGGTATGTGAAGTAGGAAGTGGTAGGTAGATTATATAATAGATATTGAAACAAAATAGAAAGAGGCAAGAAGGGAAAACATGAGATACTTATTCAATTGCCAAGAACGACTATCACCACATTTACGAGTCCCTGACGTCTTGCATCCCTAGTAAATACTTACTTGCATGTGAGATGTCTTTTTTTTCTCGTATTTTCGATGCCGTGTAAACATCGGACTGGGTTATCCGGTGTCTTCGTATTCAACGTCATTTGTTTATGTTGCCTTGTATAAGTAAAATGAAGAATCTTTTCTAGAAGATCAGCAATTTATGCTTGTAAGACCAGCTTGGCGTTACTATATATAGCTCCGATAACCAATTAGACAATCTGACAGCTGTGGAAATAGTGGGGATGATCATCTAGGTTAATCTTAGAGTTGAATGGTGGTTGGAAGTTGTTCAGATGAATTGTTTATGCTTAATTTCTGTTGTGTAAATGGAAGATGTGAGGCAAAATATGAATGGTGCAGACTAATGACTATTGGATATCAGGGGTGCTAGCTAACGAGCTCGAGAGAAAAGGAGAAGAAATGTCAGCTGGACCAATCACGAGTCTTCGGGTACGACTGGGCTGTGCAGTGTTACTTAGCAATGGATTCATTCCAGTATTCCGATATCCGAGTGATGATCATGGCTCGATTGTTTACTCCTTCAGGAGACTGAGGCGAGAGTATATACAAAATTCCAAAGACTAGCATGAACCTACTACTGATGGTGGGGCTAATATATGGTTGAATTGGCATTAAAAAACAATCAGTAGCTTCGAAAGGGGTTCTCTGAAGTTGATACCTACCATCTTTCGTTATGAGACCCCTCTCAAAATCCAGCTGGATCATTGTTGTGCTGCACTATACATGCTTCTTATATGTTCCCATATTTGTCTATATTTGGTAATGATTCCTAGTTTTTAAGACATAGAACTATTTGGCACAATCGTAGATTAGGTCTAGAAAGTGGAAAAGGAGTCAAGACCCCTCCTGTACATATTTTGCCGAAAGTAGGTTGTCTTTCATTTTGGCATCCCGTCCTCGAACGTTGTATTCCAAATGATTCGCCCAGTTGAATCTAAGAATCTTCAAAGCACTGAAGCATTGACACGCGATTGAGAATAGTAAGCCAAATCTGCAGTGAGAGACGCCGGCTTGGCCATTTTTACCTCCTAGTTCTAGTATAGGAGAGAATGAATCGAACGCCAAGCCCAATGCAAGACACCTTCATCCCATATGATACATAGACGTTCATTTATTTCTTTTATTTTGGCCCTCTTCCTCATCCACACCCACTGCTCATTTCCTTATCATGAATGATGTCCAGCCGCCAGACTTCGGCTTTTGTTCTTCCCCATCAGTCCCTATCCTATCCAGCGGTCCACCATTTCTCTGTCTCTCCTTCTCTGCCTCAAATGCGGATTTGGCCTTATTTTGTATCGCCATTTTCTTCTCCTCGATCGCTCTTAGAACATCGCTTTCCCTCTCCCCAAGATTATCATCTTCTTCGCTCAATGCCTCATATCCTAGCCTTCTCTCACTAGTCCCTACATCATCTCCCTCTTCTTCTTTCTTGATGCCCGAAAACAACCAATCCTTACTTTTCTTCCATGCTCCGGGAGCCTTCTTTTTGGCCTCTTCCGCAATCTTCACTTTTTGTTCCCGCTCCTTTTCTCTATTTAGAAACTCTATTTGTGATTCGGTTGCAGTGCCAGATGCTGCGGCAGTTTGTGCACTCTCAAGTGCCATAGCATATTTGAATTTCTGTTCGGCGTAAAACTCGGCGCGCTTTTTGCGATTATATACCATCATATCTCCCAACGCATAGACTGTGACGCCACCGGCAATAACTAAGAGGAATCAATTAGCACATGTACAGCTTAAGCTACCAGGTCCTCCAAAGCCGAATCAAGAGCAATGGATTCCCAATTGAAACCGAAGAACTATGCGGGGAAATCATACATGTAAGTCCAATCAAACTGAAAGCTGTAAACCTATGCGCCTTATCCGCCCACACTCTTCCCCTTAAGAGGAATTTATCAAAAGTTGAAATTTGTGCATCTCTAGCTTTATCTGCCGCAGCCCTTAACCTCTTAACTCTCTGTTGTGATGTCTCTCCTGGTGGTCCTGGATTTCTCGATACAGGTTTGGGTTTTGTAGCAGCGTGTGGGGTCGTCGAAGTAAATCGTGTTGCATCTGTTGCTGAGCGCGCCATCCTTTGAAATATTAATTAAGAGGATCTTAGATTGGGAGTATCGTAGTCTGGTGGTGTCGTCGTATTAAAATGGAGGATTATGATAGAACTTTCATTATCGAATGATTTTTTTCGAGATGTCAATGACCAGTGGGAAATCTTAGCGGCGGGTCATTCCGCATCCCTGCAATACCGTACCACACAGACTTATTAATGATGGAAGCTCTTTGAATGATCAAGACTCGAGTACAAATTCAATTCACCTCGAAACCAATGCTATAGATATCAACATCAAGAAGTATTTAAACTTTATAATTCATGATAGAGATACTTGCAAGGACGATGATATAGACTTCGCGATATTTGCGATATTTGCGACCTTTCATCCTTCCTTCAGTCACTATCATCCCTCAATCAAGAAGGAATAGATCAATATACAATATAAATTCATCAATTCGTCAAAATGTCGTCGAATAATACAACTCCAGATCTTGCTTCTGTAATGGAAATCTTAGCAAATCTAGCAAAAGCTAAGAATCAACAACAAGCTCAACCTTCCACGCAAACAGCTTCACCTCAAACGCCGGATATCACGTCACATGGTCAAGCAATCCAGCAACAACAGCAACAACAACAATGGTCCCAGTCTGTAGCCCCTCCAATAACACATCGTGAATCTGGTCAGCTCCAAGCTCAAGTACAGCCTATCAATAATTCAAAGGCCGTTGATCCAGCTACTATCATTGACTGGAGTGCGGGCCTGCGGTGTGTTATGAGGACGTTGAATAAACACGATCATGTACTACAGGAAATTCGAAAGGTTGGTTATATTTGCTAATAGCAGTCTTACTTACTCTAGTAGCTGGTTGCAAAGCATTTCACTTGAGCTTACATATACACAGATGATCAAAGTGCAACATGAGCACGAAGAGCAATGGTGGAAGTCGAGAGAAGCTCTTATAGAGCGACAAACCGCTAGGAAGGAAGGACAGAAGAAATTAGAGGAGGTGTTGTAAGTTGCCCTACTACATTTCCTGAGTTCCGCTGATGCAAGTGGTTGACCTCGATATAGGAAAGCAGTAGGTGGAGCCACATCAAGCGGGGCATCTAACACCAGTCCCGAAGAATTGGCAAGAGAGCTAGAGACATTCGACATGAAAGTTTACAAAGCTCAAACTCAAATGGTCAGAGAGATGAATGGAAAATTAAGGAATTTAGGAATACCATTCTTTGGGACGAAGAGTGAATTGGTTAGAATTCCTGGAAAGAATGATGCCACGAATAGGGCGGGGACGATTAGCACGGAGGGGGAGAAAGGCATGATTGATGAGGCAGAATTGGTGGAGCTGCAGAAGAAAATGCTTAATATCCTGGAAGATATGTGCAATGACTGAGCTGGATCACAGCAAATCAAACAAGCATGTTTCGAGCGAGCACTTTTGTTGCATGTCGTCAGGAAGAACTCCTTCCATAAAATCTGGCCGAATGGAGAAACTAAGGAATAGGAAGCAGGTCAAAATGTTTGATTTGGACCCCCGAGTCATTCAACATCAATGCCAAGGTCGGGATTATTATTTCATGCATATATTTTACCGTGATAGAAGATCACTTCAAAAAAAGTGTAACTACCGTACCCAGTCATATCGATATTCTAGAAAATATCCCAGGAGTATTGCGGTCACTACAGACAATCATCATATTTCATATTACCATATCGACCGGCATCTAGATTTCGGACTTCAAATTCCATGTTCCGAGCTTGAAGAATGAGTGCTATTGGCGGAAATAATAAATAGCATGAGCGTATGGCTGGAAGAAGAGGTTCCGTATTACTTTTCCGGATGCGGATGAAGCTGCTGCGGTTGCGTGATATCCCGCTCCTAAGGCTGGAAGCGAGACGGTTGAGGTTGGGATGCTTGATATCCCCTGTTGGTTTTAATATTACTCCAATTAAGTGTATTAGACTATGCGAGGATAGATTTTGGTGGTAAATAATTTATAGGAAATGGGTATTCTTCTGGGTCATTTACATATATCAGATATCTATTAGTTTGGAAACAATACGGTGTGTCCTTTGTCTATTGAAATGAGGGGGATGGTAAGGTAATTGGGATGAGATGGGCGAGCTCCGGTCTTGGAATGATGTACCTAGTCTTTCTGGGTCAAGCAAAAGTTTCATATCACATTCCTTGACCGCAGTTTAATACGTATCTATTGGGGAAATTTGAAGTGTTGGGTTTTGTGTACCCTGGATAAGTGTCCAATCGGATCTTCACACGATGCATGAAAATCATCCTACATTTCACAGCGCATTGTCTCTATCATCCACTTAGTATCTCTTCTCGTGTTAAAAATTGTCCTTCAAAATATGTCAAACCCAAAATGAAAATCATAATCATAATCAGAGTCACAGTTCATGGGAGTAAAGTTGTTGAAAAGAGATTAATTAAACAAAACTAACTATGCACCACCAAAGCCCAAAGAGTCTCAACCAATCCCTCCCAATCACTTATTGAAACATCAATATTTCCTCCAATTCAACCTCCAGACCCTCCGTCCCAAAGAAATTTATCTGTCACTCAATGCCAGGGGTATGTCAGCCCGTTCCTTCTCCATGCCATGTTGCAGTGTCAAATTCCTTCCTATAATTGTCTCCGAACTCCAATCCCACGCCGTATATTATTTAATGTTTCCTCTAATCTATACCCATGGCCCGAGGAAGTACAGAAGAAGTATCAATTGCTTTCTGATTTATGTTTCCACTATGCTACCCATACCATGATTTTGATGTTTGTCAGGTCCTCAGCATTCCCCAGAACTGGTCCTTTAGTGATGAAGACTCTTCAGTCGAGAAGACCGTATATTGGAAAATCTGATGCGCGTGGAGATTATTCAGTCGAATACACCCTTGAGTGAGAAGAAGACTCCAGTCGTGAACAAGACATTGGGGTCGTCAAGAACAACGACAAAGCCAATGAGATAGTGTTCTCAGATGGTGTTTGCACCCGGCCACGCCTGTTCAACGTTCCTCCCAGGCCAGATAACATCATTAACATTTTCATATCTATCAATGATGGTATGAGTCTTTCGCATTTCAAAAGGCCATGGATAGAGTTCGCCAGTGGTGATGTTTCCCATATCCGGTTTGTTTTCTTCGGCCTCCCGAACATAATGATCCCTATAGTCATCTCTCCAGGTCTTTCTGACTTGAATGTCGTCAACGGTCTTGAAGATTCCCTGAAGGGCTTCATCTGGAAGAGTAGAAGAAGTCGCGGCGGGCTTGAAGATGATAAGTGTCTCGGCATTTGTATCTAAAGCCTTGCCACATGCAACCATTTTAGCCGGATCGATATCTTTTGAAATTGAGGTTTCTTCTAAAACTTGAATTACAGAATCTTTGAAGACTGCGCCGGTACGCTGGCTGCTGGGCTCGGATGACTGTAGAATTTGGATGGTAAGTGGTGTCCCATATCGATCTCTGTCTAGGATTTGATCAGCCATAGTGTTGATCCGACGAGTGAGGAAATCTGTTACGTCCGCCGAAGTTGATTCATTGTTCTCATGGAAACATGATTTGGGAGTGTGATAGCAGAGTTCCTTGCAAGGGAAACTTGTGGCTATAAATCGAGCGATGTCTGCGCAACCGGTGTATGAGTCGCCCCAAACTGGTATAACAGTGAGTCTGTCAAGTTGCAGTCCTTGCAAGACCTGTAGTCCGTACAATTGTTCTTCGCCCTCGACAGTCTCAGGGGCTTCAGGCTCCTCACCCTTCATGCGAATGCGAACATTACGAATTTGGCTGATGGTAGAGATTGGTAGAAGAGAAAATTTGTCCAACAGTGGGAAAGTATCCTCAAAGTCGAAGAGGACCCGACTGATCCAAATGTTACTGGTTTCTTGGTACATTTGTTTGCAAACGCGAAGGATAGCGAGTGCGTTGCGGGCTGGCAGAACCTTGCGATATTCGGAACTGATTTTTCGGTGTCCGAATGTGAGACGAGTTGAGTCAAAAAGGTGTTCGACAATCATATCCCGCAACTCTTTTGGTAGGTTCAAGAGGCGGGATTCTGTCTTTGGGCGCGAGCTCCTAGTCATGGCTCCACGATGATTTCTGAGTGGCGATCGGGAGCGGTAGGAAACCTGTTGATTTTTGCCAGGGGATCTGGAACGTAAATCTCTTCTGCGTTCAGAATTGCGTTGATTGTTCATGTCGTTGCTGGAAGATGATTTAGGAACCATGAATGTTTCTCTATCGAGTGTTGGTAGATGTGAGAGTATTATTGGAATATCTAAATAGATGGAGACTGTCTGAATGGATTGTTGTTGTTGTTGGCAGGATTTGTTTGGTAGATGATTGTAAGTTGTTCTGTATTAAAAGGTTTAGGAGGAACAGTGGGAAAAATAATCCTTTTAACTAGAAAGGAAATGGACCTGAAAGCTCGCTTGCAGCGTAAGTTACGGTATATTACCAATCATCTAGGTAGCATAGACCGTAAACATGTTCTCAATTTTGGGCAGGGTAGCTATGGTAGCAATGATCAAAGCAAACGCCTCGCTTAGTTGTGATAGGGGGGGGGGGGGGTAAAACGGTCATATTTAGGGCTTCTGAAATGACATTTTTGCCAGGGAACACTCGTGAGACTGCGAATTAGCCGTATATACGCAAATTGAGGGCTACCACCTCGCTTGTTTGTAATCATGCTGCCTTGAATTTGTAATCATAGGGGTAAATTGGCGGTACGATAGCAAAACGCGTGTTAAATAGCGTACGCTAAGCACTGCTTATACAATTAATTGTATGAATTTGAGCTTACGTATCACCTATCTATGATCAGAGAATGAGAATTGGTAATCATCAGACCTAAATAGCCATACGGTGATATTGTGAAACTTAGCATGATACGCTCATCCCTTAGTTACCCATGTAAAGATGATGCAGCATGAGAAATAGACAGGCTGTGATGGTATGGGTGGCTACAGAGAGCGAACGAGTTAATAGGTGGATAGTGATTGGCGGAGGATGAAAGAAGAAAAGGGAGAAAATGGAGGAAGTCGCCTTCAATGAAGGTAGAAGGAGCCTGTGCCAACATTACAGCTCTACATTGATTGAATTCTTACACGTTATGGTGGCCTCTTCGATATGTCCAAGCTGCCTTCCTATTTTCAGGGGAGGGAAGAGTATGTGGGCAAATGTGCCAACTCATGCTAAGCTTCAGGACACTTGGTTGAGGCCTCCACTAGATGTACATGGTAGTATATTCTCCTGGGAAGACTCCGAAGTGGAGGCCTCTAGACCTTTTGCTTATAATATTGTGATTCTACCCTCGATGTGAAGAATGCATCATCATCTAATAAGAGCATTTGAGTTTCCGAGTTCACGCTGTGCCCCCTCTGAATAATATTCAACCATTCACGATTTTACAAATCTGCTACAATATGACTGGTGAAAACAAGAGCTGCCCTTCATTTTCAATAGGGTATGGAACTCCTGATAGATGGTATGCTCACTAGATACGAATTGATGCCGCTTGAAACTGATACTCTCATCAGCAGTCCGGAAAGCGACAGATTATCGGATTCTGCCCCAAGTGCTTTGAATGATACGCCTTTTGCTCTCGCTTTATTCCGGTTTCTGACATTTTTAAGGTTTGAGTGTTCCAAGAATTGCAGAAAGTACTACACAATCGACTAGCTCTACATATGATACTTCTGAGGCTAAGCGTGAGTCTCAAGGTTTTGTAGCTCCGTTGAGGGGAGATGCACCATGGAATGTTCGATTTCAAAAGACCGAAGAAATCCTTGAGGATGGTTTTTGCGAAGAGAAGCGAAGACTCGGCATTGGGCGGCCTCAGAAATTTGACATTGTTTTCGATCACTTCGGCTGTGTCAAAACGTCTAATATTTCGGTGGCTGCAAGCATGAATGTGAATTGGGAGATTGATGTACACGTAAATGTCCAATATATTACATCTGAACAGGGTGAAGGAAACCTACTGTCTGCGGCTGAGAGAATTAGCCGCAGAGATTATGATCTTATTGGTTTTGGTACACAATTTGAGACATGAAAGTAGAAGAGCTGGTGGCCTCTTTATTTGAGTTGGGATCCATCGGTTATCCATTAGTTAGTATCATCAAGAAATCTTTTATTTTAAGAATTGATTAGCAGCATTCGTGCCAGAGGCCGCCCCATTGTATACGACATTCAGTTCCGTTGCGGGAAAAGTCTCACCCAATAAGAGAATTCAATTGTTACATGGGCGGCCTCATGAAATCGCACGAGCTTGTAAGTTGGCTCACAAGTTCCAGGATCTGACGCAAGAAAGGCTGACGGGCTTAGAGGCCACCAGCGCCTACGTGCAGCCTTACCCGAAAAACATATAATTACAATGAGATGCTCTCTCAACTTTCATCAAAAAACACAGCAGATTACAAAGGTTTTATCATTGAAGCTCAAATTCGTTACATTTTATTATCTCATTTCTAAGCCCGCCGGCCGCTTTCGGGCCAGCGGGGATAAGTCGACACTTCCTTGTCCTTCTTATCCCATCAAACTACTCAAGTAGTCACTTAAGATCTCTCAAGCGCGAAGCCTTGTCTTCGCGCAACAGAAATCTTGAGTAACCACAAGAACCATAGTTTAGAAAGCTTTTCACAACAGAATCTCCCTTGATATGTCTCTCTGAGAAATATTCAAGGCATATCAGACAACGAAATTTACATCGATACGACCTATTTTCACAGTATAGTCCAAGGATCTTGCGGAAACACAGAAATCGAAATCGAAGCTATAACGCAGCTTAATCACAAATTATCTACATCTTCAAATTATTCTTCTACTTCTTCTTCAATTTCCTCCTCCTCGCCTCACACGGCATCACCTCGCTGGTCCCCGGACACGAATCAGAGTCACGATAGCCCTTCCCCACGCTCATTCACGAAGTTGCCGCTCTTGTCACCGGAACAGGTACAGGAAAGTTCTATTCCCACCTCCAGTATCAGCTTTCAGTCAACTCCAGAACTTGCATCACCTGCTTCTCAATTTCTGGTTCAGGGTCATCTCTTGGCTGTTCAACCAGCTGTGACGCAAGAGGCACTGGCATCAAGCGATCGTATCTCAATTGACGCTGTCCGCTTACCGACAACACCTGACAATTCCTCCGGCAAACAAAGACCACTACAAACCCCGCCAGTCGCAGTATTCGATTCAATTGCCAAGAGTGCCCAAAGGAGTTCTTACGTCGTTGTGATTTGAAGTATGTCACCCCGATATACAAGCCCCAACTCATGCTGATATTTCTATTGTTGGAAGCACACAAAAGTTCACATCCGCCCATATAAGTGTAACGAGCCTTTTTTTAATAGTCTAGGCTTTGCCTTGCCCAAAGACTTACGCCGTCACATCAAGACAAGGCATGAAAAGTCTGAAAAGCTTAAATGTCCCTATCAAGTTTGTCAAGAAACTTTCACGCGTCATGATAACAGGCACAGACATATTATAGGGCAGCAATCAAACAAGGCCAGTTAAGTTTGGTCAATTCACCAAGAGAAATTTCGAAGCTACAGTGTTATAAAGTTACCACTGCCTACAAAAGTGAAAATGAAAAAAGTTGATAATCATACCCATCTTGGGTCGATGGAAACTATTTGGAGTTCTTAAAGGGATTCAAGCGCCGCAAGCTTGCAAACCGTTTATACGACGTCAATTCAAGAGTTCGGCCACGAATACAACTCGATATACGACTACTCGCTATGTGCTGATGAGCCGTCCGATGGCTACACACCACTCATCTGTTCATTTGCAGCCTCATCTAGGCACGGCACTTTGAACAGATCGTTATATCACGACACATTCAGATCGTTACACGGCTCTTGTACGTTGAGGAACAGGGAAGTTTCTATACACAATATTGCCCCGCCAAGATGTCCATATTGTTTGATTGGGATAATGTTTTGGTCGCGACTCAAACCATGGTTTTACAAGGTAGGCATTGCACGCCTGCCCAGTACCTATTCCTGGGTATACCATAAGCTGCCACCCTAACATTATGAACATGGCAATCCGCTCGGGGCTTTGCCTTCAATTTTGTATATACTTTAGGATGTATACAGGAATGGGCGAGCGGAAGTTTCTGTCTGGTTCGCAGGCGAACTGTTTGATAGTGTGGCGTTGTAGACTTTTTCAATTTTGTTTTAGACTGACGCGTTGATGGCTGTGCCTTCAAGCGAAGAATTTCATTCAAGGTCTCCTTGTTCTGCCTTCCTGTCAAAGCGGGAGTTTTTTATCCTGACGCATGAGGACCGATATGCACTTAGCGAGAAGGGTTTCCCCCTGTTCTGTATTCTAGAAGGAAGATTTAGTTACAATATACATTTGATTTCTGAAATTTGATGCCAATGGATTATTGAGCTTGACATGACACTAGCCAGTTTTGTCATACATTTTGAAAATTAATCCGTCGTTCATCAATTCATTCATAAACTCTTGCAAAAAAATTCTGGGTGTTATATTGGATACTTTTAATTCTAAACGTCACTGGAATCCACTAGCTCCAAGCGTAATATGAGCTCGTTGTTTTGAACTTCTATCTAAGCAATCAAAATTCATTCACTCTCGGTATTGACAAATTAGAATTTAACAAGAAATGATTTGCCTATCTATTCTCAGAAGGCGTGATAGGTTTGGAACTCTCAACCCAATCGAATGTCCCCAGGATTTGCGTTAACCAAACATCTTTAGCACCATCTGGGATCTCGTGCTCAGTATCTTGATCTTCGCCAAATTGTGAGCCGCTCAAAAAAGTGTGCGGAAATCCTGGATCAAATCGACTCGCTCTGTCAATTTTGGCCATGTCTTCATCAGTCAAGACAAGCTTGAGGGCTTCGACATTGCCCTTGATATGCTCAACCTTGCGACCCCCAACAAGTGGAAAGACATATGGAGCCTTTTGCATGATGTATATCATGGCGATGCTTGTAATATTGGTGTTCTTGGAGGCTGCAATGCTTTCCAATACTTTAGACATTCGCTTTTCAAGAACTGAAGGCCTGCCTTGACGACCAGGATTACTTTTCTCACGCTCCTTGAAGGTGGCTTCTGTTTGGAAACGACCCTGGGCAAGAGTCCCCCATGGAATCAAGCCCATACCTTCGTCTTTACACATAGGAACGATATCTCGTTCAAAATCACGTTTGGCTGCATTCCATAGCCCTTGGTATACGACGAATTGACGAAGACCATGGTCTCTAGCATACTGATTTGCTTTCGCTACGACCCAAGCAGGAGTGTCGGATACGCCCAGATAATTGACTTTGCCGGAAGAAACGAGGTCATTGAGCGAAGTCATGAGTTCCGGAATGGTGGTTGCATAATCCCACCAATGTACATAGAGAAGGTCTATGTATTCGGTTTGAAGTCTTTTGAGTGATGTTTCAACGGAGTGTCTGAGAGACTTAGTTCCGTTGCCTCCAAAGTTCGATTGAATTTTTCTGAGATGATGCTTCTGATAAGGAGAGGAATATTTGGTAGCAAGAACCATTTCATCTCTGCAGTCCCTTGACTTCATCCATTCTCCAAGCCAGGTCTCAGATTGTCCTGCTTGATATCCATTGGCAGTATCGATGAAGTTACCACCTAGACCCTTGAAAATATCGAGTATCTCGAAAGATGTTTCCTTGTTGCACTCTCCCAAACGAGCCTTATCTGCATCACCGAAGTTCATGGCTCCCAGGCAGATTGGAGAAACTCGCACATTGGCTGTTGGAGCTAGTTGGCGATGGCGGAAGAGCATGGACTCAGGTGCTGGTGCAGGTGGGAATGGTGGTGCCATTTTGATGATTGTATGTAAAACCGAGATTAAAATTGAACTGTTGATGGGTTGGGTTATGAAGAAGAACTTTATTTCATGGCACTGATATATACATCAAGAGGAAGGGATAGAAGAGAACTTTACACCTAGACAAAGACTTTAGACATGACATCTACGTGTCATATTTGCATCATACGCTCGGAGATACAGACGGAGTTTGATCTCTCTAACTCCATGAGAACCATCTATCATACACATTAGTGGAGAGAATGTATTCACGCTATAATCTTTGACTTCCTGGGTAGACATACACTTGTCGCCGAATTATGGATGTAAATGTTGATATTCATGACCACTTTGAGCTACAGGTTATAACACCCTATAACATTGACATTAATCCAGGCCCGCAATGCCCCCCACTGAAGCACCATTCATTGGTCAATAGCCTCTAACTGCCACTGACGTATGATAAGCAGGTTGCATAGAACTAAGTCGAAGTGGGCTCCGACGTGGCCCGTGGGGAAGGTCCTTCTTCGAACTTAGCATTATCCTAGACTTTTGGTTGGTTCTTTCAAATTTATCACCCAGAGTTTACCCCTTCGGCTTCTTCAATTATCGCCTACTCGTTCGAGTTGTGATCTTATTCTCAATATGCCCGACGTTTGCATTACCAAACTACAATCTCCAATTCCCGAGAGATCCATTCTCGATTTTCGGACGAAACATAGATGGTCGTCGAGAACTGAATTGCAACATGCCACCCAAAGTCGAGCTCACGCGTATGTCTCAACAGACTGGGACCAGATGTGTGGATGATGATTGGACTGGAACAAGCGATTCGGCAAACAGAAGAAAATTACAGAATCGCTTGAACCAGAGGATATACCGTGAGAGTTGTTCCTGTGGATTATTGGTGTTGAGACTTGGTATATGCTGAATTGGTTGTCGCTAACCAACTGTTTCGTACATCCTGTCAGGTCAAAGACGTAAAGCTCCATCGAAAACTCGTGAAGACCGCGAAAACGATTCTTTAATTGAAGCTTCACAGCTCCGAGAGCGATCGATCCTTGGTGAAGCCAAAAGTACACATTATGCGAACTCGTTATCGATAACGAACCTCTGTAACGAGAAACAATCCAATCAATTCGAGCAAACAAGCAATCCTTCTACCACATCATCGACAGATATAAGTATAAAGCGATGGACAACAGGTCGCGTGTCAAGATACCAAGGGTTTTGTGAGATTCGACTTATGCTGGCCACATTCGAGGAAGAAGCCCGTAGGAATTATTTGATGGGCTCTCTACGAACAGATCAACTTCTCACCCTCATTCAATTCAACGTTTTTCGCGCATTGATCAAAAACACGCGAACAATAGGTTGGAACTTGGATTGGCTAGACTGTACGATCGATCCTCTATCCCCGTGGCTTAATCTTTCCACAAAGTTCGTACCGGGAACGCATTGTCCCCAAGCATTGTGTCCAACAAAGATTCAGCGCACAATCCCTCATCATCCATGGCTAGATCTTTGGCCAATTCCTCAAATGCGCGATAACTTATTGTTGCATGCTGGAAGTTACGATGAAGATCGATTGTGTAATGATCTAGTGGAATTTGGAGGTCTTATGAACGAACAATCCGGCCTCATTGTTTGGGGAGAACCGTGGAATATTTGGGGATGGGAGGTTAGTGAGACTTTCTTGAGGAATTGGGGATGGGCCCTCAAGGGTTGTAAAGAGTTATTAACTTCAACAAATACTTGGAGGGCGAAAAGAGGAGAGGAAGCCCTTGTTTTCGAGATCTGAACAGACTACCTGACCTTGGGACGAAGCGCCGGATGTTACATTGGATTAGACTCTCAAATCTTGAGCTCTGCAGGTTGACACATATGGATACTTCCTTCCTATTCGTGCAGCCAGGAATCGCATCCAATATCGTCTAGCAAACACCGCCAACACCGCCAACAACAAAGACTACGTTACGTGTATGTTGAATAAGCGTAATGACGGGATAATCTGCCGATAAAAATCGCAGAAATGCAACACCATTGGAACATGCGTTCAATTATGGTCTTCCAGGTAGCAGGTAGCATTTCAACCAACAACCCATACGCCATACTCTACAACCTACGCGAAAAGATTACGTCGCGTCAATTTGAATTATGGGGGAGAGGGGGTATTATCATTGCAAAGTGTTGATACACACAGAGCATCAAATGATCTCAGCTTTATTCATACCTGTAGAGTTTCGCTCGGTTCACAAATTGTCTGCAGTTCCAACCTCTCAAACTAAAACTGTTTTTTTGTTCGCCGCACAGCAACATGAGAGAAGGATCAAAACGCTGAAAGTTCAATAGGGCTCGTGCTATTGAGACGGAGCACAGAATTGACCAACCTCTCTCTCGTGGCGTTCTCTAATTGGGTTTGCGAATAGAATAGACGAACAAGAATGATGCTAATCAAGGTAGCATTTTACGTAGGATACCCAGACCGGCCGATCGGAAGTAGTCTTTCGTTGTTCATTCGACCGAGCTGTAGCAAACAAATTCAATTAAGTAAATTTGATTCTCTAATGTGACTTCCATTTCCATTTCCATTTTGTTGTCTTACTGTCAGATGCTCTTGGCACGAGTCAATATTCAATAATATTTCGCGAATCGGCTTGAGCCAAATTCGGGAAAGAACAAACATTTGAAAGAATGCAAAGTCTTTCATTTGTTGTTTGATCCGAATCTCAATTACGACTCGACTTCTGGTTTCAAGCGCCGAAGTTAATGTTTCAATCGAGGGCCTCGGAGGTTTAACAATGGCACGGTCGAGTCAAGTGGCTCAGTTGCATACATCACAAAACTCAATGGTTTGAATCAGCAGACTAGCACTAAGGCTAAGGTACAACATCAAGACTTTCTCCACAATTTACCAAGCAAAGTAACTACCTAGGTACTAATCGCAAAATGCGTCACACGAACTACAAAAATCAAAGGTGTCAAATGGTGGAGGTGAATTGTTCAGGCCATTCCTATATGACCACAATATGACATAGTCTATTTGTCAGTTCAAAGACATCTCCTGCCTCGGCAAGTAAAAGATATTTCCGTCATCCAATACAAACTATTTCTTAAACTTTCTTTTGAATGCCTATGTATCAAGTGATCTTCATTGTGCCGTTGATTTGCGCTCTTTCCTGTGGAAACCCACAACTCCTCATCCCAAAAGTGTTCAAACTACCTTATTAGGTTGAGACCTTAAAGATTGAAGAGAATCGGACTACACATGCATGGCACATGTTACCAGCCATTTACAGTCTTGCAAATATTGACAGCTTCTGGGTCCACACTTTCAACGCGCGCTGACCTTGTTTCATTGATTCTTCAACCCTTTGTATGCTGGAACACCCAGCCTCTCTCTTGACGAAACTGAATAAAAGCATTGGATAAGCCCGTTTCCCAGAAGTAACTTGGATCCATCCACTCAGGCTCTTCCTTCCCACTTTAACAAAACTCATGATGCGTCGCTCGCTTGTTTCTCTGTGTTGTATACTTGGCTTAGCTGATATAGCCACCTCACAATCTGCCACCTCTCAGCAATCTACTGCTAATGCAGAGGCTGCTTTCAAGCAGTTGCAAACATGGTACGATGCCACTTCTGGACTCTGGACCACAACAGGATGGTGGAATTCGGCCAATTGCTTAACTGTCATTGGTGATCTCGCTGCCGTCGATTCAAATGTCAAGTCAGCCGTCACCAGTGTTATGTCAAACACCTTTATTCAAGCTCAGAAATCCAACCTAAAAATGATGAAAGTCGTATTAACAGACTACAATTATCTATCAATGTATGGAGATTCTACCGGCGCCCTGAAAAATCTTGCTTTAGCAAGTGAATTCCCAGTGCATGTAGCAACAACTGTGAATCCTACTGGTTTCTTGAATGATTATTACGATGATGAGGGTTGGTGGGCATTAGGTTGGATTCAAGCGTACGACATTACAGGAAACGGCGACTACCTGGCCATGGCCGCGGATATCTTTGCCGACATGAAAGATGGCGCCACCACACCCTGTTCAAATGGTGCTGCGGGAATTTGGTGGGATAAACCAAATACATATGTAAACGCCATTGCGAACGAACTCTATCTGAGTGTGGCTGCTCATCTTGCGAATCGTGCAACGGGATCCGATAGGTCGAATTATTTGACTCTTGCGAAAAATCAATGGACTTGGTTTCAAGGCACGGGAATGATCAATGCACAAGGAACAATCAATGATGGCTTGACAAGTTCATGCCAGAACAACGGAGGAACCGTTTGGAGTTATAATCAAGGCGTTGTTCTTGGAGGACTCGTCGAACTTTCCAAGGCAACGGGTGACTCGAGTTATCTTAGTACCGCGAAAAGCATTGCGACAGCGGCAATCAGTGCACTTTCAGACTCAAATGGAATCCTTCATGACGCATGTGAACCGAATTGTGGAGCAGATGGTGCACAATTTAAAGGAATTTTCATGAGAAACCTCCAGAAACTTCACCAAGCATCACCCGACTCAAGTTACCTAACATTTATCGCCAATAATGCAAAGAGCATATGGGCAAACGACAGAAACACAAAGAATAACATCTTGGGTGTTAATTGGGCAGGACCATTTGTCGCGCCGGGAGATGCAAGTACGCAGAGTTCAGCACTGGATGCTCTTGTAGCGGCGGTTGCGGTGGGTGGTGGAGGGATTGCGAAAGCAAGGAGATGGGTTGCTTGATGTGTATGGGAGGTGTGCGAGGACTTAAGAAGTCGTAATCTTGAACGATAATAGGTATCAATGGAGTCTGGGTGCAAGCGGTGTTAGGCTATGGTTATGGGTGACATGGAACTCGTGTCAATACTTGAGGAGTTTTATGGGATGGATATCATATTTTACTGTGGATACTGGATAGACAACCGGTGGCACTGCCATATTGATACCTTGTGTTTTTGAATTAAATATCGAATTGAACATACATCAAATGCTATAGAAGGCTTTCCTAAGTCTCCCCATGCAGCAAGTTTCTTTTCTTGATAATTCGTAGAAATATCCAAGAACCTATTTGTGCGGCAGCAGCAAGAATTCAGAGTAATAGTTGAAAACTCACATCAAACGCAGAAGACGCGTTCTAGATCCACGGCCAATAGTTTACAGCGGGATCGATAGAAATGAATATATATAGAACTCATCCCTGCACTTGCGCAATCGGGAAAAAACAATAATGTCCAAGCGGTGCATTGACATCGATAGCTTCACTATCGCGATTATCTCACGAACATTGTCCGAGCACTACCAATCTAGTGAACGAGTATCTCTTAAAGATTAGAGACCCTTAGGATCGGAGCACTACATGCTAAGTCAGCTTGGCTACGGATAGGGTCTCGACATCATGGATACAGAGACGGGCTTTGTTTCTGAGCGCGTAGTTTGCTAGACTTTGTTGGATCTTGTCATTGTGAAGGCCGCAGTCGCGTTTCGTTTCATAGACACAACACAACAGAGAATGAAAGAGAAATTGCAGTATGTGTCATGATAGGACATTATTCGTTATTACTGTTCAATCATTAATTACCAATATGGCGTCTACCAAAATGTCTGTCTGTCTGTCTGTATATCCGTATATGCCTGTTTGTACATCAAGATCTATCCAGCAATGTTTTCTCTCCCCCTGTTAATATAAATCTTTTCTCTCCTCTCCGCCACGATAACCCAACCCATCTGTCAAACCAACCCAGATCAGAATTCAGAAAAGATAAAGTCTACAACAAAACAACTGCGGCACCAGCAATCAAAGCAAGCATTGAACCAGCTTGAACAGAAGTCGCTGCGCCAGTGAAGACAGGTGTGGTAGCTGTACTAGTAGACTTTGGTCCGGAACCAGTACCCGATGGAAGGACGCTATAGCTTGGTTTGCTGGTGCCGGTAGTGGAGTTACTGTATGTTCCTGGAGAACCGGAACCGGAACCAGAGCTGGAGCCAGAGCCCGAACCATGGCCTCCTGATGAAGATCCCGAGGGACCAGAGCCAGAGCTGCAATCGGTTGGGGCGGGTCCATCGGCATAGACTGTTACGGTCTTTGGTGGGGCGCACATGGAACCGATGGAGGTAGGTTGGACGAACCAAACGATGGGGCTGGTGAAGGTTACGGTCTCGATAACTTTGGAGATGGCGGTTGTGGTGGCAGTAGAGAAGGCGGTAACGGTTGAGTTCTTGGTCGCATACGCAGTGGTGGTAGCGACGGAAACAGAGGAAGAGGTAGTGGGGTCAACGCATGATCCGGTAAGGGAGAAGGCATTGGATTGGGCGTAGATGACGTAGGTATTGGTTCCGTTGATGAAGTTGAGTTGCCATCCGTAATCACTGCTCACATCACAGGGAATAGTAACATCGATGCTCTTCTCGGATTGTGGAACGTTTTGAGCGAGGGAGATGACGGTAGGAGGCCAGTCTTTGAAGTTGACGAGGTAGATGGAGAATTGGGACGCATCAGTATCAACGGAGGACCAGGTCACACTGGTGGATTTCCCCTTTGCAACGGTGGAGTTGAGAGTTGGGGTAAGGACGGTGTATGCGGAGGCCGCGGCCACCAAAGTGGTGAGGGAGAAGATCTTGGAGAACATTATGGATATGAAGAAGAATATGAAGATTGGAGAATGTTAATTAATGGAATTTTGGAAAGAGTGTAAGTTGGCAAAGCCTGAGTTGTGCTAAAGAGCGTGGGTGGTATATAAAACCTAAAGGAGGATATTCTTGATTCTTGAATAGAGAAAATATCTGACAGACGAAGGATTGGCAAAGAGTGGGTAGCTTGGATGCTTTTGTATTCATTAACCATCAGCACCATAATCTAACTAACCCTCTTGGACCAAATCATATTTAGTCATACGTAATATGTAGGTAGGATGCAAACTTGCGGGCACATGTTTGTGTAATTTCCCTTCATACCCCTGATTTTAGTACTGATATTACTTACCTCGATCCCATCAAATCAATGCCAAGAGTACAACCTATGAGGCACAGTCAAAATAAGACGGTAAGATGTAAATGATGGATGTATATTTAGGATGAACGGATGGATAAATTCATAGGTTAAACTTTTTATATATTATAATATTTCATACATCGACGCATCGAAAAATCATATTGAGTGGGGACGTATACAACAAGTCCCTAATAATATCGGTTGATATGGATATGGATATGTTTTATCTATATGAGATCTATGAAACAGAATCTAGGACAATGAATTTTTTTCGACTTTCGAACGATATAAGGCTGCTTCAACGCTTTGATTGATTGACAAGTGTGGCGGGGTGTCGATCTAAAAAATCCCCTGATGAAAAAGCAAATAATAGACTAAGGCCAGATGCATGCAATAGATAGTCTTGATAGTCTCGGTGGACCTGCAGTTATCCGATCCCATGCAGCCAAATGTGTCCAATATCTAGCCAATCTGTCTCTGTTCATCCAGTTTGGTGGTGCAGAGCGAGATAACATACCAGGTACATCACGATTAACCGTAATTACCATGCATCACACAATGATACAATGTTTGGGTGACCAACCTCAGAGTGTACACACACACACATACACCATTGAATCCAAACCAATGGTTCATAATCGAGATAAGTTTGGTTGGAATTATGACTGTGATTCAAGCAAGAAATTCACCACTATACAGCTCGTATTTTTCGAATTGAGCAATTTCAATATATTGCAATTGAAGTCGACAAGGATATTGTGCCATTAGGTTACCAATCAATTGTGAACCCTATGGACCGGGAAGCATAAGAGAGCAAAAAAAGAAGATTAACCGCTGGCCAGTGCAAAAGTTTAATTTCCACAAGGATATGCACGACGATGCACAACGCTGCACGTACGGTTAACGGGCTCTAAACGGGAAAATCGTTGACAGATTTGGTAAGTTTCTACCGGAGATGTGATTGGAATTTGAGTTTTCGGGTAAGCAAATATTGGGGAACTCTACTACGGAAGATATCACAATACCATGTTCTTCTGCCTATGATTATGGTAAGGTTATTTGCTTAAACGCCTTATGGAGAAGTCGAGCCTGTCAAAGCAGTTAATCAGGCACACCGAGTATAATAAAACACTTCCTCCGGCTTGAGCTCGAGCTTGCACTGAGCTGAAGGATTGCTAGGTGGCTGGAAGTAAATATCCGATTCCCGGGGAAGATGAATCAATGACAGGAACATCAATACCATACAAAAATACACGAATCAGCCAATGAAAGTAACTCGGGATAAAGTCGTAAAGTTTGACCTTCAGAGCAATTTTCTCCTTCTCGGTCTTATCCGAATTAAATGATTCTCGATCCATCAAGTTACCCATACCATCCTCTCTTCATAGTCTACTAAGTGAATAAACGGTGTACTGCACTCCAACAAGAAATCATTCTATGCGAAACCATACATGTTCTTGATGATGTCGCTTGCCTTCTCTGCAACAGCATATAATGTGCTAGTCAAATGTCCACTAAGCTGATGAGGCAGAATGGATGCATCGACTACTCGCACATTACTGGTACGATAGACCTTCAAATTCGAATCCACGACTCCGCCAGACGCTATCCCCTGCATAGAGCACGTGCCAACAGGATGATTGTTTGAGCCAACTATATTATTATTTGTTTAGCAAGTGCAATCCTGAAAACTTAGACGAGATGGCAGCCTAGAATCCTCATGGGGAAGGGCTTACATGTTGATTTGATCCAAGTTTCCCACTGCGAATCCGTAGCATTCTTGGGAACGACAGAATATCCTGGTGACATTTCCAAAAATGCGCTCGCCAATGCTTTGGCTGCCCAAAATTTTCGTGTCCATTTCGCAATCGCCACTTGGACTTTCAGATCAAAGTCCACAAGAAAAAATTCGGATTAATAGCTGGATATGCGGCAGGGTCCGCTGAAGATATATGGACATTCCCTCTGGAAAATGGTAAGAGGGTCCAAAACGCTGTGTAGAGATATGTACCGGGTCCAGATCCGGTGTTAACTGTGTTCCCGAAGATGACCTCGATATCAGGGACATTTTGATTGATGAGATCATTTTGTATGGTCAAGAGGTAATTCATGGCGCCAGGTGAAATGGAACCATTGATTGCTGCCGATATCGACGATGCCCAAGTACTGAGATTCGCAGCTGGAACACTCGGGAGAATGGAGGATAATGGAGCATACGTTACATATGGCACAGTTCCGTTGTACGTAGAATTGCTTTCATAGGCAAATGCGTTGTTAGGCTGATCTTGAAGATTTTCTCCTACGCCAGGAAGAATTATCTTGGTTGGTATACCATATTTTTGCAAGATGCTAACCTCGTTAGTCCTGTCGCCTACTCGCCATGATTTCAAGAACCTACATTGGATTCCCGATACCGGAAAGCTCCAAAATCGCTGGGGATCTTAAACTTCCAGCTGAAACAATAACCTCCTTTGTCGCATTGATAATCTCAATCTCCCCGTTCGAGTTTAAGACTTCTACACCACCCGCCGTATACGTTGCTCCCAAATTACCAGCCCAAGCAATTCTTCTGGCAGTAGTATTCAAAAATACATGCAAGTTTGGCCTACCCTGTACAGGATAGTAATAAGCTCTTGCGGCATCTTCTCTGACATTCTTCTCTCGGTCCAGTGTAGATGGCCCCACCATGTGTCCAGTTACGTTTCCGCCATTTATATCCCGACTTCTCTTCACGCCGAGAGATTCCCACGCTCTTCCTACTTGAGAGAAAAGTGTGCCGTTGTTAAGATCATACGCATATCCAACTTTAAGAGGTCCATTTTGTCCGTGAAACGCCGGGATATACGATGCGCCTGCTGCTGTTTGAGCTGGAGTTGGAATTGTAAAACTCTCGCTCTTCTTGTAGTATGGATAGAGTGTAGACCAATTCCAACCGGTATTTCCAAGTCCAACTTGCCATGAATCAATTTGTTGCAATGCTGCGCGCACGTAGGTCATTCCTACCATTGTTCAGTTGAAGACTCTGAACTGCCGTTTATAAGTGCAGTACTTACCATTAATCGTGCTCGTTCCCCCTAATGCTTTTCCAGCATTATAGCCCAGTATTCTACCACCAGCATACGTCTGACTCGTCGTCGCATATTGCCAGTCAATTGCTGTGTTAAGACCTAATGTGAATCCATCCACACTGCTGACATTTGTATTGTTAAGAACCGAAAAGCCGGCCTCGATTACAGCGATAGTAATGTTGGGAATTTCTGATAGACGATTGGCTATCACGAGACCAGAGGTTCCGCCGCCAATTATCACGAAATCATATGCAGAGACAATGATGTTGTGAGAAGTAAATAAGTATCCCAAAATAATATGAGACACCAGGGAACAAACTGAAGAATTTTTAGTCAGGAGCATGACGGGCGACTTGCTCCGGTAGATTATCCAGCGTTTTTTGAAAGTGGAAAGAACTGAGATATAATCAGAAACAAAGTTCGTAAAAACCACACAGGGCAATAGTACATATTTATGTTCTTCTTGCTAGACAGGACGGGCCGATTCCCGTGCTTGTCGTCGCTCGTATATTCCAGAGCAACGAAGGATGACTGCAAGGTACCCCGCACACGGAATCGCCCACCAACCCATGTACTGTACATAATTGATATTGATCAGCTACGATAATCTCGTTAGATCTTTTATCCAACCATCCAACCATCCCATCCCATCCCATCCCATCCTATCCCAATCCAATGAAGCCTCGCTATGATGTGCAAATTAAGATGGGAAGTAGAGGTAGAATTGATGAATATTAACAAAGTATTATACAATCCACAATCACTGAAGTATTCTTTCGACTAATGCAAATACGAGAAATAGGTAGTACAGGTTCAGGCACCAACGAACCCCTAAACGTGATCAACCCAAACGCCAAATAAAGTACAGACATTAAGCAAGTCAGAATTCATGATCCTCCAAACAACAAAGTAGTACAAAAGCCACTATGGTATCAAGCCCTTAGATTTATTGGAACGAGACCTTGCCGTACTTATCCTCGACAGGTCTTTCATCGCCAAAGCAGAAGTAGCCTCGAGAGCTTGGGGTCTTCGTATCTACACCTCCTTCGCTTGCCCATTGCTTCTCCATTTCTTCTCTATGCTTACTCTTTGGCTTCCCATCTCTAATGCGCACCTTCTCGAAGAATACATAAGCAGCATAGTATGTAGAACTAGTATTTCCAGCACTTGGTCCCTTTTTACCTAAGAAATCATTCAAGACGTTGGATCGAATTTTCTTCTCCTCGGGGTAGGTCTTTGCAATTTCACGGAGAAAAGCAGCTTGTGTCACACCGGGTTCGCGAAGGTAGGCACGTATCTTTTTGCGAACTTCATTGCAGCTATCATAGATAGGGACGGAAATTGTGGATTCTCCATCGAGCTTGATGGCGGAAACATCAAACTTCTTCACTTCTTCGGCTTTGCTGACCTTTGGCTTTTTGGGAGGCTTGACACCTTGTAGTCTGTTTTTTCTATTAGTCACAAGACTGGTACGAGAATCTGAGTGACTTACTCTCGTTTTTTGAAGAAAGTAAACGCGTTTAAGTGAACATTGCTCTGATCTCCCTTGAATTTGCCACTTTGGCCCATGAATGCACCGTAACTTCTGCTGTTGGTGCCAATCTTTCTCTGAAATTCAGTGACTTTCATCTCACCACTCTCAAGAAAGGTGCGAATTTTGCGACGAATTTGATCACAATTTTGATCAACGATGTGAAGTCTTTCATCATCACTATCGATTTCTGGTAGATTTTGTGGTTCTTCAATTTCGGAAGCTTTGCGTTTGTTATCCGTAGCTGGTTTCTAGCTACAGTGTTAAATCATGCATAAGGAAGAAGAAATTGAGACATAGTTACAGATGCAGGGGTTTTGACTGGAACCTTGTCTTTAGACTTTGGGGGGGGGAAGGATTGGAGCGGGGGTCGTTCTAACGTTGCTGTCTGCAACGTCCAAAGGTTGCTTTTTTGCGGTGTTACTCATGGTTAACACGGATCAATAGTGATATTCCTCTTGAGGACGTTCTGAATAGGTTGATTGTCAATGTTATTGAGCAAAGAGGACAGGAACAAAAAGGATAAGATAAGAAGAGAGTGAGAGAGATGACGTTGTAAAACGCGAACGCGTAAATAGAGTCATGTGATCACAACTCAAATAGACCAAGCGTTCAACCACGATCTCTCCTCTCAAGTCACATAATCACCAAATGACCTCTATCTCACAGCCGAACTGTTGTAAACCCTTTCCCTGTGCATAGACATTGAACTTCCAAATCGAAGATTGGAGCTACAGCTTGATGAAGCTTATTCGACGAAGTATCCGAAGAAGAGCAGCAACCCTTCTTCAATGATATCTTCACGCTTAGCATTCGAGGCACACGCTTCCACTTACCCATCAAAAACAAAGATTTATATTGAAAGCCTCCCACAAATTTCAGATCCCATTGCATTGATGTCCGAATTACCTTGAAACACGCATTTGTCAGACTGGGAGTAAATTTTTGGAAACACAGAGAACTCCACTTGCTTCACAAACAGCACAAGGATATATTAAGCTACGATCGTAATACTGCCAACTGTTCAGGCTACGCTCGACCCTCACATCTCTCTTCCCTTTCCGCCTCGAATTCCCTCACCAATACCCAACTCCCCGCTACAATTCATCCTTCGCATCCTTCTTAGGGCCTCCCTTAACAACCCTCTCACAAACCGCCGGAGTCCCAACATCCATCCGGTAATTGCACTTCTCCATCTCCACAACCTTCCAAATCTCATCTTTCTCAGCACAAGCCAACACAACAGTCGTGGCCCTGTTCGGTCCGTTCCAACAATGTTGCCCATTCTCATATACCAAAGTGGTTCTGACTCCCTTGCCAAGGCCCTTACCCCCGGCATCGACTTCTTCGTCAACTTCTATTTTATCAAATCGGACAAAGTTACCCATGCCAGTATTTCCGCCACCCTTTTTGGACTTCTGTGACGTCTTTTCCATCCAGCAGAGTTCGTAGTCATATTCACCCGAATCCTTGGATACACAGGAGCCTTTGAGAGCGCGGAAAATATCATCTACACCATAGTCTTTTTCAAGGTCGGATTTGAGATCAGAAAGGGTGTTCTGTTTGGCACCAACATCGTCACTGACAGCTTGATAAGCATTTCTCGCATCTTGGACAGATTTAGATTCGGAGCCAGAATTGGCGTTATCAGCCAGAACGCCATTTTCAATGAGGATGATATGGAGATCGGTGACCTTTTGGTGAACCCAGGTACGGATGGATTCTGGGAGGTATTCTTCGAATTTGTAAACTATTATGTATTAGTAATGAAGTGAACGATAGATAAGAATTCTTCCAATATGATGCTTCGCTGGCCCGTCAGGGGCAACTGCCGTGGAGACCGACTAGCGGAAGTAACCACCATCCTCGACTGCAGCAAGTTGTGGGGATTTTCGAGCTCGCCTGAACTGGAGGAGTGGAAGAAGGGTCAAAGATAACTTACGAGCATCAACATCGCTCTCCTCCTCATCGTTCTCCCAGGTCTCCCATTCAATCCCATCATTCTCAGCCTTAGCCGTTTCATCCACAGCAGCGTCTTGACTTTCAGTATCTTCTGCTTCACTAGCATCCTTCGTAGCAGCATAATCCTCCCAAGCTTTGACTGCTCTCTTGACACCTTCATCGTTGAAGTTAGGGTTACGCTCCTCCTTAAATCTTGCCAAAATTCCTTCCAGCTCGTTGACCTTATTCTGCAAAGCCACTTTCTTTGCTTGAACACCCGTCAAAGCATCTCTCAATTCCGCAACTCGAGTTTTAGCCATTAATGCCAAGATTGAGACCTTGCTGGTCTTCCCCTCCGAGGTCTTAACAACCTTCCCTCTCTCCTTCCTCTCCACCTCCTCATATTTTTGTTTGAGCTCCTCTTCTTTCTTCTCTAATTGACTAATCTCCAATTCCGTCCTGCCAATACTCATCTGCACATCTGCTCTCAACCTCTGCGCTTCATTGACCAGTTCATCCCTCTTCTTGTTGGCCTTGACTTGTGCCTTCGTCCTAATATCATCTAATCTCCTCCACTCCTTTCCGATCTCCGCACATTTATCCGCACATTTTGTACCGCCAACATTCTCCCACTCATCACTCCCATCACAGCACAACTCATAATCGCAGACTCCATCATTTACATATGTAAAAGGAACATAAGTTGGTATATGACCCTTGTTCTTGCAGTAATATCCTGGCAAAGCTAAACTTGTGTTGTGTGGACTTGAACCAGTGGTGCCTTGTAATGGTTGAGGAGGGGAGAGATTGGATAGATAAGTACAGGCACTTGTGCCTGGCTCGTCACTTCCATCTGGACAATCGCAGTAATCATCGTTTACTTTGGAGATATCGATTGAAATGGAGGGGTTTGAAAGACATGTGAATTTGTCTGTTGACTTGTAGAATTTCGCAACTATGTAGTAAGAAACAAGATATTAGCTATTGGGCTTCCGGATGTAACCTTTCCAGGTAGACTGCCTCCAACAGTAGTCTCCAGATGGCCAGCGGAACGGCATCTTAAATAGGAGTTTTGCTTATTCAGTTGCTAGAAACGAAGACCATTGCTCAAATTCGCCATTTCTTCGCCGCGCCTGACTCTCATATCATTTGTTTACTTACATTCAGGACCAACACCTCTTGGTCTCGTAGCTTCAGCCGCAAGAACCGAAGTAGAAATCGTGCTTAGAAGCACTAATGCTTTTGCTGCCACCATTCTCTCACAGTTTCGAGACTCAGTATGTAGGTAAGTTGTATTGTATGAAGGACAATATATAAAGAAATTATTGAACTTATTGGACTATGACATTTGGAATAGGTAATCGAGATAAGCTTGAGTTCAAGCTGTTTGTGGGGTACAATGTAAAGATGCCAGCTTGCCAACTTAGCGAACAGACCTTCCATGTAACCTCAAAACCTCAAACATCCAATATTCACGTCCGACTGGTGATCCAATCAATTGATCAAGGTCAAAGTAGAAGTTGCACAATACTATGCCGAAAAGAGTGTTTGTTATAATCGAAAATATAGGTTTGTGTCCAATAATCGATGTTCTCACTTCCGTATTATTACACAAGAAGTGATCTTTAATCTCCACGATAATGGGCAGATACGTATCACAGTTTCATAATGAGTCCCAAGAAATTGTTTATATATTTTTTCAATTGTTTTCCTATGAATTCTGATGAAGGCTCGAATGCGTGCTACATGAGCTCTATCCTCAATCGATACAGGTTCAACTATAGACCACCCAATCCACCATACCCGGCCAGCTCACTAAATATCCATCAATCCCATACCTAATAACCCAGTCCTGCTGCGCCATTAAGTTATCCCAATACCCTGCATATTCCCTCCCTCCCATTTCATCGTCCCGCCTCCCCGTTGACATTGTTTTTCCAATTTTTGGTATGAAACAAAGAGACACATAGTCGAATTTCTTCTTTGCCGTTTCAAAAACTCCAATATGCCGCTGCCCTATTTTGTTGCCGCGAGGCAGATGTACAAAGAAAACAGTTCATGTAAAACATTAAGATTGAATAAATAGAAATTAACATGGGTTGCCACCATGATATCACAATTAGAACATACTTCCATCCTGAACTGGTGTCGGTCCTCTTACACCTCCAAGTCCGGGGGAAAAATCTGGCATAGCCGGACTGGGTGCATTATAAGCCTTCTCCCTCGCCTTAGCATTGAGATTGCCTCCCTCGCTAGAACTTTTTCTTAATCTCTGCTTGTGTTTTTCCCTGGGTGTTGTTGCCTCTTCATCAGAGAAGGTGCTCATTTCTTCGTTACTCTGCGAAGACAATGGAATCTCATTTTTCTCAAGATATTCTGAAGGGTCCTTTTTCCCCATAATCGCATCAAACATGGCTCTTGTCTGTCTTCTTCTTGGATTGACTGCTGGTATAGGTGGGGCCGTAGTATTTTGAAGGCTCGATCCAGATGGAAGGTTGATTGTTGAGATACGAGAAGTGGATGATATGAAAGTTGGCTCCGAGATTTCGGACTTTGTGACTGACTTCTTGCGAGCAGCTATACGGCTATTTGCCTGAGAATTTGTTGGAGTCGCTGATCTCGACCCAATTGGTGATGGATCAGCTAAAGAAGGCGTAGAATTTACTGAGAAGGGGGTGACAGGTGATGGCCTAGGTGAGAGACCAATTTCTAATGCATCACCAGTCTGGAGAGCGTGCATGTTCTGTGGCTCAAAGTAACTCGAGGGCTGCGGTTTGCTGTTAGTCCTGGGTCTCGAGCTCATCGCTGGGGATGGAAGTGGGGATGGGCGACCGGAAACACCAGGTGACAAACTTGGAGATGAACCAAGAGATAAACCGGACACGGTAGGTTTGAGCATGAGGCGAGCATTCTGAAGATCCTCAACGACCCCTTGACTCGACGTGCCCGTTCCCTCGGCCATTGCTTTAGCTAAATCATCCTTGTATCTACCATTGCGACTTCTAGATCGGCCAGAGGCATCAGAACCTGAACGATCACGAGAAGTACGGGATGCAGGTCGTGACCCGGAATGATTCGTACCTATACTACCCTTACTCTCCCTGTTTGCATTTCGTTGGGAATGGGTTACTGGTGGGGGCTTTCTCTCTCTACTTTGAGCTCTTTGACGTAGTGCCAGATTACCAGACACATCATTCATTCCCTGCATTAGTCTTGACTCATAAGGATGCGCTTGTCGAGGGTCACTTGGTCTTGGATTGGACCAATTAATCTCATTGAAATTGCCGTCACCTTTCTGTTGATGTCTCATGGCTATTTGATGCTCACGATCGCGTTGAGCATCTCTCCGAGCTTGTCGGAAGGCCTTCATCTGAGGGGGTGTCGAAGAAGTCGCGACATTTCGAAGCATCTCCTGCTCTTCCTCCTTCCATGAGCTGTCATCAATCTTTTGCTTTAGTGGTTGGGGAGGACCGTTTTGTACGACTGGGCTGCTGCCTATTCCGAACATCTTCATGGCTTTGGATTGACCAGCAGCTTCTTTCTGCTTCATTGCCAATGCACCAAGGCTGGCCTTAGTTTTCAGCAGTACGGCAGATCCTGGAGTAGGCGAAGCAATCTGACGCTCAGGCTGGCGCTCAGGCTCAAGCACTAGGCTTTTCAGATTTTCCTGAACCTGCTTTCGGCGTTGAGCAAGCTCATTTTTGAACTCTTGACGCTCCTGCTGGGTGGCTGAACTTCCATTCCTGTTGTGGCGTGTTTCCATCTCCCTCTCCCATGCAGCCTTTGGTGGAGATCCAGGATCGGCATTCGAATCCGTTGATTTTACTACGAGAGCTGCTGGAACAGCGCTGTTTACTTTAGCCAAAGGACTTACTGGGGTTTCATCCCAGTCATTAATGTCCCATGGGTTTCCTCTCTCATTATAGTCGCGAGACGGCTCTTCAACAGGATCAGAAGATGGCTGTTCATTGAATCCCGACGAAGTTATTCCATATATGGATGAGCTGTCACTATCGGATCGCAAATGCGAACGGACCATTCCGCTCAAGCCAGGAAGCGTTGGAGAGTCTGCTGGAGATTTAGGCAGTCTTTCACCATCATCAGGTGGTGTGGTTTTAATCTCCAGAGTCCTTGGGGGGCTATTTGGGGGCGCAGGTAGGGGTTGTTGTGGACCTCGAGGTGCTGCGGCAAGTGGCTGGTAGGCTGGATGTTGGGATTCATCGGGTCGTGGTGTCATTAGCGGATCATTGTGATTACGGTACTTTAGATTTGGGAAGCTACGAGGCTGGGGCAGTCCCCACGGCCGACTCATCGGTCCTCCCTTGGTAGGAAATTCAGATCTGGTAGGGGATGCTACGGAGCGAGTAATTGGAGAACCCATGAATGGTGCTGAAACGGTTTCGCTCCCTGGAATTGTAATTCGTTGTTGTTTCGGTGATTGTGGCTCGGGAGCGCGGTCTTTGGGGGGGAAATGTCTTTGATTAGAATGGTTCTCTTGCGTTGCACTAGAGTCGTTTCGAGCTCGTGAGCCAGGTTGTTGTCGTGGGACGAAAGGTCCCGGCGGGGAATGCTTTCTTGGTGGCGGCGTTTCTCTTCCGTTCTTCATGTGAGTCTGATTTCTAGTCTCATAATGCTGTTGACCAGACTTAGGGTGCGCACTACCAACCATCATAGCCTTGACGCGGTCATTGACTTGTGATGGTGGTGGAGCCTCATCATTTTCGCTGACTGGAGGACTCAAAGGAGGATTCGAAAATCCATACTGTGATTTCGGCTCCACTCCCAAATGCGCTGACTTAACTGTTGGACCAAAATCAAAACCACTGATTGGGGACGGAAGATTATGATTAGGTGGTGGGCTCGCAGCACGTAAATTAGGCATGCTACCTTTGGCAAGTACAGGTTTGCGGTCCCACTTATCAGGTGCATTAAAGGAGGTAGCTGACGTTGGCGAATGCATTGTCAGGGGAGGTGTTTGAGCACCCATACCGCGTTGCCTGGTTAAGGTGTCTATCCTGTTCATGGTTGAGTGCTGTTGGTCATGCACATGTTGGTCCAACCCAGTTTCGTACAGTCGGCGCATTTTGGTTGCAGACCTTTCAATGCCAGAATTTGTTGCAGAGCCTCCGGCTGAAACTGGTGTGTGAGATCCATTCAAAGATGGTGTACGCTGTGAAGTAATAGACGTTGCTGCTGTAGAAATTCTTGTGTTCACCGGCCCAGAAGAAGTGGTAGATGATGTCTCTCTATTACGATTGTATCCGACAAGTGGTGGTGAGCCTGCTCTCGAGTGCTCTGTTGTTGATACATCTGCGTTATCCTCATCGTCGTTTCGCTCCTCCCATTGTTGTTCTCTTTCCTTTTCCCTCAATTTCTGGAAAGCTGATTGACTAACGTCGCTGTCATACAATACGCGACCCCCAAGGCCAACCCCATCGGCGGAACTCTTCGATCCTGATGGAATTTTATATATCTTTTGACGACCACCGAAGAGTACATTGCCCTCGCCTGGCTTTGGTCGACTCATAATGCTACCAGTGTGTAGGGATTCATCATCCGTACCATAGCCATCTGCGACCGAATCAGCCCTAGAAAAGGAAAATGGTGGTCGAACGGATCCATGTATTGAAGAAACCTCTGCGATGTCAGAAAGACCGTGTCCTTGAAATCCAAAGTCGATCAGTTTCGAAGCTCGCTTGGGAAATAATACACTGTCATCACTGGCTTTACCGATTTTTGAAGTTGGGTCGTCTTGTTCTCGTAACATGGAAAACCGAGCCGATAATCCATTCATCAACAGACTTGTTCGGAAGTCATCCGACGATGGTAAAGCATTCTCAAGGTCCAATTCCAACTTTGGTTCCGGTTCTTCCTTCTTCTTCCCAAGTCTAAAAGTTTTTGATGATTTGACAACCAGTGTGTGCTCGGTATCGCTGGATCCTCGACCTACTCCTTCTGCTGCGTCCTTGGCATCCTTCTTCTTACGGGATCGAAACATGATGCTTAGTGTTTCGCACTGTGATTTACAACTTTCTAATCCTCAACGTATAAACCTGATTCTGACAAGAAAATATAAAAACAAAAGCTCGAGTGAGATCTAGTGAAGAAACTTTCTCAATTCTCGTTTCAATGGGTGTCGTTCAAGTCGAGATATCGGAAGGCAAAAAAATGACTCGAGAACAAAGACCAAAGCGTGAACGACAGGAAGAAAGTTGGGGAAACGGAAGATAAGCTGTTTTGACATGCAAGCATTAG